GTTCATGGCAGTAAAGACTTTGCCTGTCCCCTGAGAGCTGGTGATGACATTGCTTGCTACATATTTGTTCCAGTTAAAAGCAGACTGAGGGACTTGCCTGGTGATCCAGGGTGCCACGACTGAGATGTGGTGCAGCCAAATAAATAAATATGTGATTTTTAAAAGGGAGATTGAAAAACTGAAATGGACAGGGACCACTTAGAGAAGATTTTACAACTTATGTCCAAAAAGCCAAAGAATTGATAAAGCTGTTCATCAGAAAGTGAAGAAATGGGTGGTACTTTTCTACACTGTGTCAACTAAAGTCAGAAATGTGTTTGTGGCTGAGATGGGCATAAAGGTGGTTTTCTCCCAGGCCAAAGAGTGGTTATGGCCATTTAATTTGGCCAAGACTGAGCACTGGCATCATTTTGATGAAGTACTTTGCATCTTTCTAACATTATCAATGGTGTTTCCATACCCAATGAACTAGATACTATAACAGAAAGGACAAAAGGGAGAGGGGGAAGGAGGAATTAAAGAAGGCATAATTGTCAAAAAGCTGAGTTATCTGGGGGCACATTTCTTGACCTTATTTCATGAACCACAAATGACATTGGGCTGAGCATCTCAACTCATATCCACTTGCTTCAAGCCTAATTTGTCCACCTGTGGTGTCCTCTGCTCCTCCAAGTTCCATATGAACTGCAAGGAGGCTGGAAACATTGGGCCCAACCCGTATTTGGTGAAGCACAAACTGGCTCTGCCAATTTTGTTCAAGGTGGCCAAAGGGTCCCACTAAGATACATGTTTCCCAGTGCCTCTTACATGAGCAGTGGCCCAATTCCAGTTAATGAGATCCAATTGGAAACCAGTAGTAATTTCAGGAAGAAGTCTTTATATAAGGATCACTTCTTCCTCCTCCATCTTCCTTCTTTAGTCCTTCCTGGAATGCAGATATGATGTTGCAGGGAGAGCCACCAAGAAGATGAGGCAGCGGCATGAGAATGAATGATACCATTTGAAGGTGGTGGAGCCAATGGGCAGGAGCCGGAACAGTGATGATTTCATGGAGGCGTACACAGTACTGACTCCCAGTTAGCCCCCCGTTGCTCTGACCTGTCTGAAAGCAGTTGCCAAGGGGGACAGTCAGAGATCTGGTAAGGGGAGCAACCAGGCTCTCTGGCTCCTGTTGAGGTTGGCCTGTGAGAGGCGCCAAGTCCTATTCTTGACCACCACTCTCCCTGGGTAGTGAAGGCAGGAGGAGAAGGGGATGATAGGGGATGAGATGGCTGGATGGCATCACCGATTTGATGGACATGAGTTTGAGTAAGCCCTGGGAGTTGGTGATGGACAGGGAAGCCTGGCATGCTGCAGTCCACGGGGTTGCAGAGTTAGACACTGAGCGACTGAACTTGACTGAACTGATCTCCTTGGGTACTGGTACTAGTGACTCCTTGTGTGCCCTCAGGCCCAGAGTCCTGCTGAGTGAGTTCCCGGGTGCTTCACCATCACTATCTCCTCCTGGTCTCCTTAACCTCACTCACATCTTTCCAAGTAGCCCTTCATTTAAGCATTTTCAATTAACTCTTCGAGCTGCCATCAATCTCAGGCATACAAACGTGGACAGGCAGCTCACTGCTTTGAAGACGGCACATCCTCCTGTGGAACCACAATTTGCCTGTGTCTTCTACTCTTTGGTCTTTTGGTTTTGGCTGTACTGAGTCTTTGCTGCAGCTCCAGGGTGCTCATTGTGGAGTATGAGGCTCAGAAGTTGCTACTTGTGAGCTTGGTTGCCTCTCAGCATGTGGGATCTTAGTTTCTCAACCAGGGATTGAACCTCCATCCCCTACATTGGAAGGCGGATTCTTAATCACTAGACCACCAGGGAAGTTCCTACTCTTTGGTCTTGAATCTGCACTCTGACGTAACAAAGAACTTCCGGGTATAATCTGATTTCAAGTCTATATTCTCCTCTCTGAAGGAGTTCAAATGTTGGCTCCAAATTACCCAGCTGATAATTCTCAGTTGCAACATTTATTATGTGGGGATAAGACCCCATACGCACATAGGACTATTGTGAGAATTATGCGAAACAACAATATATGTAAGATTGCCATGTTTAGCAAAAAATAAAAAAAGAATAAATAATACAGGATGTCCAGGTACATTTAAATTTCAGATTGACAATGAATACTATTTTGTGTATGTTTGCACAATATTTGGGATATTTGTTGTTCAGTTGCTGTCGTGTATGAGATCCCATGGACTGCAGCATGCCAGGCTTCCCTATCCTTTACTATCTCCCAGAGTTTGCTCAAATTTATATTCAGGTGGCACTTGTGGTTAAGAACCTGTCTGCCACTTGGGTTCAATCCCTGGGTCAGGAAGATCCCTTGGAGAAGGGAATAGCTTCTAGTATTTCTGCCTGGAGAATCCCGTGGATAGAGGAGCCTGGTTGGCTACAGTCTATAGGGTCCCAAAGAGTTGGACACAACTGAAATAACTTAGCACACATGTCCATTGAGTCAGTGATGTCATCCAACTGTCCCATCCTCTGTCAACCCCTTTTCCTCCTGCCCTCAGTCTTTCCCAGCATCAGGGTCTTTTCCAATGAGTCGGTTCTTCTCATCAGTTGGACAAAGTATTGGAGTTTCTACTTTTGGATGTATTTGTATTAAAAAATGATGTGTTGCTTATCTGAGGTTCAAATGTAACTGGGGCTTCTGTTTTATCTGGTAAAGAGCACATTGCCTACCCTTTATGTGGTCCCCAGTGAGGAGTAGTAGCTGATACTCTTTTTAATCCTTTTTTCTCCCAGCACCTAATGCAGTACTAGACACAATGCTCAGGAAAACAACTGTTTGAATAAAGAAATGAATGAACACATGGAGAAACTGAGAACCATGGAGGGGATCTGACTGAAGTGAAAGTTGTCCAGCTGCTAAGTGACAGAAAAGAGCCTGAAACTTGGGCATCCTTACTTCTGGTCCAACTTTCCTCCCTCCACATCAGATAGTGGGACAGGGTGGAGGAAACTGCTCCGCAGGGCGTGATCCAGGGATGGCACTGAGTGGACTCCCCAGTTCCCTGGAGACAGTCTTTATTTTTCACCTCACACAGTACTTATATTCTCACTTTAAAATGAAGGAATAACTAATATCAACTTTACTAAACTGCTTCTTCAGTGCTGCGTAGCATGTGCTGAAAATATGGATGCCATTTGCCATGTTTTAACATTTTATGGTGTTTCCCGCCCACTGCTCCCCCAACCCCCTTCCATGCAGTACCGGTATTTTCTCCTTGACTGTTATTTTTGTCATTCTTAGGAACACTCAGGCTTGTGTGTACCATATGAGATTGCATCTTTCCTTCCAGCAGTCTTAAAACTGTCGTTTAAAGTTCAAAACTTGGATCTGCTTTTAGACCTTGGGTCTGCATCTGGTGACAAGGCAAAAAATTCTGCTTTTTCAGGCTGTTAGTCAGTTTTACCCAGTTTACTTGACAGTCACTTCCCCACTGATGTGAAGGTACCTGGCCCCAGTCCAAACTCACATGGAACAAAGCAGTTCTGTATTTGTATCCTCTGGTGACCCTCACTTCAGTTATTATAGACTAACGTTTCTCTTCCACTTTTAGCTCCTTTTTGTATATGAACTGTAGAAGCAATGAGAACAGAAGGGGAAATTTTTTATTGGGCCTACAAATTTATAGACGTCTTTACGATGCTGTCTTTCTAGCCAAGAATAAGATAGTCTTTCCATTATTAATTTAAACGCTTGGGAATTTAGTTTTTTTCAACATCGGAATGCATACTATTTTTTACTTCTCAAGGCAGTACCAGAAAGCTCACGAACTGCCACAGAACTTGAGCGTCAGGCAGGACTGAGCTCAACCTGTCCGATGCTTTCAGTTCACAGACAAATTCAGGTGCAGAGAAGCGAGGTGGTCCAGGACACACAGAATCGGGGAGTTGGGGCAGGAGGGGATCTTGAGGTTCCATGCCTTCCTGAGTCATCTCCCGAGGCTGCAGGCCATGGGGTCCCATGTAGCTTTCCAGCCCCCCCTCCACGTGTCCCCACCACACAAAGTCAGCAACCCACAGTGAAGAGAAAAGATATTTAATTATTTCTCTGTCTAATCTCTTAAAGCGCTCAAAGTATTTTCACAAGTGCAAGGGGAGGGCCCGCTCTCAGCCAGCATTTTACCAGTGATTCTGACAAACGCAAAGAAACTCCAAATCACCGTGCTTTATATACTTATTTTAATTTCCTCACTGGAAAAGAAAAAGAAGGTGTAAATGAGGACGAGTTAGTTTACAGTGACTCCATCTTTGCCTTTTAAATTAATCCGTTCTCTCGAGGGCAGAGGAGGATCGAAAGACAGGAAAAAACATCAAAGCACAAGAGTGAACTGGTGAGCAGGGAGCCTCCCGTCCCGCTAACAAGGGATCCGAAGGCCTGGAGGCAGCGCAGTAAACACTGACAGGCATGGATTAAGATACGCTGGAAAAAAAAAGAAAACAAACCCACGATCCATTCTCAAATCAAGCACAAAAACCGACAGTGGAACGCGGAGTCCCGTGTGCGCCCGGCGGCCTGGAAGCAGCGCCACCTGCTCTATAGCATTGGCCCTGCCGGCTCCCCTTCCCGCAGGTACAGAAACCGGCAAGGGCCCGCAGGCGCGGAGCGCGAGGGGCGGCGGACCCCCGGGAGCCTCGGGAGGGTCTGTGTGCTTCGGAGGCTTTGCCTCTGGAATGTTCTGGGCGGCAAGCGGTGGGTCTGAGTCAGGCGCCACACGTGGTTGAACGTGCCCGCTTGATTTCCCATGTGCAAACGGTCAGGGTCTAAAGCTTTCAGAACTTGGGACAGACAGGATGACCCAGCGAGCTGGCAGGTGAGCGGCGGGGCCCCTCCCCTGGGAGGCGGGGCAGGGGCGGGGCAGAGAGAAGAGTGACAGAGGCGGAGCTGCGTTCACCCCGCGTCCCTGATTCGGTCTTGGGTCTGTGTGAGGAGGGCTCCTCAGTAGGCGATTGTCCACTCTTTGACAGAGGCGTCGTGTGAGGTCGTGACCAGCGTGTGCTCGTCCAGCCAGGCCAGGCTGCTCACGTGGTGGAGCCGGTGCGCATCTGGGGAGAAGGAGGAGGTGGCTTTTGAGCTCCTTGGCCGCGGAGACACCCTGTGCCGAGATCACCCGCAGGGGTCGCAGGAGAAACCCAACACAATCCTCCTGCTCAACCAGACCCCCTTGCCCTCTTCTCAGCGGGGAAGAGTCTGGGTGATGGGAGGGGCAGAGGCCGGGCTCCTCAGCATCCCTACCCACCCCTGGGGGACCCCTGACACTGGGTGATTTGCAGCCAGCCACCCCCAGCGGCAGCTTCCTGGTGCCAGCAGAGTCCAGACCACCACGAACCGCCCACTGGGGGGGGGGGGGAGGAGCTGCCCCTCCCCCCAGGGGTGCAAGTCTGTCTGTCTGTGCCTAAGGCAACAATATACAAACACACAGACACTACAGTGTTAATTCTGGTACGATCAAGGCCACAATGAATAGAAAGGCAGAGAATACAAGGCTAGGGAACCCCTGCACACAATAGCCTGACCTCAGGCCAGTGAACACTCAGTGACCTATGACCGCCCCCCCCCCAGACCCAAGGACTGATTTCCCACCCTCTACTCTGAGAGCTCCTTGCTGCACCTTGAACTTGAGTCTTCCTACAAAACCAGCGCTGCTTCCTGCGGAGACCAGGATGGCCCATCTAAGTCTGCTCTGCTCCCCACTCCCATCCTGAACCAACAAGTGCGCCTGCCCACCCCCACCAGTGTGGGGGACAGCCCACCGGTGTCCCTCCCCCACCACTACCTGAGAAAGAGCTCTTGGTGGGGGGGGGCTGACATAGAACTTTTTTGAATAGTAGAAGAGTCCATTTATATCCAATATAAAAGGCTCCCTGTGGGGAAAGGGACCAGAGCCTACATGAGGTGGTAGGAGGTGGGGGGATGGGGACAGGAGAACTGAGATCCACCCTGGATGGACGCTGGGCACACAGTTGTCCTCTGCATGTTCACCTAGACCAGCAGAGATGTTTGTTGGATGGCCAGGCCTCCCGAGGGGGCCACCTCCCCAAAAGCACAGAAGGGACCCTCAGGCCCTGGGGACGCTTCTCCGGAGCTGGTCAGGGAGCCAGAGGTGGGCGGGAGCATCACCTTGGATCTTGACCCTGGTCTCAGGGTCACCCAGGGTCCACACGTACACCATCATGTCCATGCCGCCTGAGGCAAAGTGCTCGTTGTCCGGAGACCAGGCCAGGCAGACGATCTTTGCATGGTGTCCGTAGAAAACGTTGTTCTCCTGGATGTGAATTGAAAATAGGTGGCAGGTCAGGGTCTGGGCCAGAGTGAGTGGGCATCATCTCACCTAACTATCAAGAGGGTCAGGCTGCTCACCAAGTCACCAACCCCTAACACCCCCAGGGTGCGCTGGGGGCTCAAAGGCCCAGAAAGGGGCAGCCCAAGACCAAGCAGCAGCCACCACGCCCCCTCCAAGACCCTGGGGCCCTGGGGCTGTCCTCAAAAGTATCCATGGGCCACATGCGCCCACTCGCCTGCAGAGCTCTCTGCCCTCGGGAGGGGACAGTCAGAAAAGCAGGAATGGAAAGCTCGAGAAGGTCCTGCTTGGCGTGGACCAGGCCCTGTGCGTGTATGGACAGAGGAGGTGGCTGCCCCCCAGACACGCGCCACTGCCCTGGAGCGTGGTCTGCAGGCAGACATCTGTCCACAGCGCGTCCCAGCCTCGAGCCGCTGTCTTACCAAATGGGCCAACGTGGACAGAAAGTTAACGCTCTCTAACTAAAGGAACGCTTTTACTTCGAGTATTCCACCTTGTTCTTAATTCCTAGATTAGCCGTGACTTTCAAGTGACCTCTTCCATTTTTTGTTGAGTCTACTCTGCTGATTACTCAGCATGCTGTGAACTTGGTATATACAAACAAAATCACTTAAGAGGCGATAAACGCAGGATTTGATAAATGTGCTACTCAGGTGGAAGGAACCTCCTGGGAGGTGAAATGTTCTTTATGTTGACGGAGGTGTGGGCCTCAGGTGTACACAAAGTATGAATGTATGCTTATGTTCTCATTCATCCTTCGTTACATGTAAATTTTACAGCCAAAAATAAAACTAAGAAACCACTAAACTCTAGTTAATATGTGGGCTGATATACTTAATAGCAAAATGTACACTTAAATGCACTAAAAAATTAGATTACTAGATGGGTAACGTGACACAGTAAAATGGTAATGGTAGAATCTAGGTGGCAAATTCTTTGGACTCAGTTATAAACTTCAAACTTATCCTAAGGGTTGGAGGTGGGGTTGGGGAGAGGTTGGCTTGGTGGGGGCGCCTGGAGGGACTCCCCGCCCCCTCCCATCTGCTCTGCGGTTCAATCACACAGCTTCCTCACACCCAGAGGGTGACCGGAGCCCTCCGGAGTGCAGTCTCTTGTGAAACAGGTCTAAGGGTGTCTCACGTCTCCCAGGCCAGTGCCATTGGCTGTCCTACTCAGGGCCAGATGAGTTTCTGGGGTCCTCTTTCACCCATCTACTGCCCAGGGACCCCCACCCTGAGTGCAAGGCCACGTTGGGACGACCCGCACTCACACTTGGCAAGACTTTAAGTGGCAATGAGATCCAAGAAAAAAAACCTAGCTTAAGCCCTTTGACAGAGAAGATCCCAGGAGTCACTGAGCTATACGGCCAAGGTGAACCTACCAGCCCGATTTCACAGCAGCCTCGCTCCCACTCAGGCCCCTAACTTTTGGGTAACTTTGCTACGAGCCCACAAACTGCTGGACGGCAGGGGAAGTCTCCTTGGCCCTGTGCATCCACCCCGTCAGTGATGGAGAGAGGCTGTGGACCCCTCCTGCCATCTGCGCTGCCTGGTGTGGGCCAGGGCGGGGGGGCCCAACCACTCACCGAGTAGCCGTCGGCAACGCTGAAGACCGTGACCACTTTGCTGGCGTCGCACACCGCGAGGAAGGCACCGTCGTGGGAAAACGCCAGGTCGGTCACGGGGCCCTTGGCCTCCAGGAGCTTGCCCTCGTCCTTCAGCGTGGTGCCGAGGATGGAGTAGAGGCGGACATTCCCGTCCTGCGGGAGGACGGGGGGCGGTGGGTCATTCCCCTGACACGGGTGCACGTGCCCACAGACGACACGTGCGCCCTCCCCACCCCACCCATACCCCCAACACTCCCGATGCCCTTCCTCCTGGAGGGAGGGGCCTGGGTATGCATGAGAAGCAGTGCTTTTCCTCCCCCCTCCACTGCCCGGCCTGGCCACATGCCAGCTCAGGTGCCAGGAGAGCTGCCCCTTCATCCCCGGGTGCCAGAGGCCACGCGCTGCGGCCCAGCGGCAGCTCTGGGGGCTGGCTTAGCACGGTGGGCGGAATTGCATGGAGAGGCTAAAGATCTCACAATCACATTAACCTGTGGATCCCAGCCTCGCCCGCCCATTGCGACATGGGCGTTTGGGCACTCATGAAACTGCCTTTTTTACAAAACTTCTAGTAGGTTCTGGTCAGGTGTCCACAGGCCGAGCTCTGAGAAGCACCTACACAGGCATCAGGTCTCCAGCGAAGGCCCCTCGTCCAACCTGACCGTGCGCCCAGCCTCACCATCTGCCCTGTGCCCCGTACCCCATGCCCCTCACCAGCCCGGCAGATCCCCTCGGGCACCAGGCCCCTCTCCTAGCAAACGCCCCATCCTTGCGGGGTCCAGGCACTTCCCCTTCAGGGGCCAGGAGGTGAGGGGAAGGAGCGGATGATGACAGGAAGTCAGGCTCGGGGAAACTGAAGCCCTCTGGCGGGCGCTGCACTGCGTGAGTGTGAAGGCTCCCCTGTCCCCTCCCTGTGCCCACAAGGCTCCCCAACTGCCCCCAGGACCGACGGGCAGGCTGAGGGCTTCCCTGCCCTGTGCCCCCAGCACAGCCCGCTCACTGCTGGGACCCTGGTCTCCTGGGGGGCGGGGGGCAGCCCAGGGAGACTCTCACTTGGGCGGCAGCAGATAGCCTGGAACACAGCCCTGACCGCCCTCCCCCAAATCACTCAAGGACCCCAGGGCAGAGCATGTGGGGACAGGGCCTTACCGCGCCCCCGACGGCCACGGTCTCACCGCCCGGGTGCACGGCCACTACTTCGGGCTCGTAGCCGGGGTTGTCGATGCTGAAGCACTTCCTCTGGTCCTTCAGCAGAACGATCTGGGAAACACACAGACAGCGGTTAGAGCAGAGGCCCGGGGCAGATGGCTCAGGCCCCGTCTGGGGGGCGGGAGGCGGGACACGCCCCGTGCCCCCGGTGTTACTCCCTCATCAGCATCATCGGTGCTGCCCCCACCACCCGCACAGATGTCTGTGTAAGCCGTCTGCTGCTTCTGAACTCGACTTCCTCCAACTACACACCGTCGGGCGTGATGCCCGAGCTCTGCCGAGCAGAGTGGTCCCGGGTTCAAGAAGACACAGCGCGTGGCAGCCGTGAGCCTCTAATCTGACACCAGAAATGAACAGGACCGGCCAGACTTCGAAATCTGGCCTTTCAGGTCTGTCCAAAGAAACATCCTTTGCAACCTCGACCATGGTGTGTAAAACAGCTAGCAACATCACAGTGAGTCCCCAGAGCCCGGAGACAGTGCTGGAAGCCCCCCACCCCCGACAGAAAGGAAACCAAGCCCTGACTCCAGCGGGCAGGCAGCAGCGCTGGGAGTCTGTCCCCGTGGAGGCTGTCTGTCTGTCCCCAGGCCCAGCAGGGAGGGGAGGACAGGACAGACGGCTCACAGCTAAGCAGCCTGGAGGCACCCACGACACACCCCACTCCCTGGTCCCGCCCCAGCCAGCTCCTGCCTCAGTTCCCTCCTGTTTGCCAGGGCAGGACAGAGTCAGCAGGCGGGGCTGAGCGCCCAGGGGTCCAGGCCCTACAGAAGGGCTCTGCCAACACAGACGGGACTTGATCCTGGCTCAGCCACCTGCTGCCCGGGATGGGGGTTGGCAGGGGTGGAGGGGCAGGGGATGGACACACGTGGCTCATGAACCGTCCTGAGCCTTGGGTTCCCAGGGTTAAAAACCCAGCGGTGCCTAGACAGCCTGAGGATGGAATTCAGGGCTCAGAGTAAACCAAGTGCCTCATAAAAAGCAAACAAAACCAGCCGCTGGAGCCCACCTCGTGTGAGCCATGCACCTTACAGGTCCCTGGGGTGGCAGGGTCACCTCCCATCAATATAGGAGCAAACGAGGTGCAAGGTCTGCGGCTCTCTGAGCAGGTACCCACACATGGGCTGCGAGATCTCAAAGCCTTGCCCTGGCCACCATGCTGCGTCTCCCACCCTCTGCACATGGCCCAGGGCCCCCCGATACAGTAACCCTCCTCTGTTCCCACCCCCACCCACCCCTTGCTACCCGTCCTGGTTCTAATTCACTGGACTGTCCCAACAGTGTGGCCTCCATCTGTGACAGCTCTGGCTTGACCCCATCTGAAGCCACCAGCGGTCCCGGGGGCAGGCAGCCCACCTCTGTCACCCTCAGGGTGTGTTGTGGACTCTGTTGTGGGGTGGAGAAGGTGAAGAAGCCCAGTCAATGGGTGGCAGCACCCTCCCTAAAATCTGCTACTGAAAACGCACCTGGACAAACATTTACTCGAGTCGTCAGCCCGACTCAGGAAGCGCCCTTACTGCCCTGCCCCCAACAGAGAGATGGAGAGCCTTTGTCCAGACTGGTTCCAGTCTCAGAGGCGAGCCCTGAATGCGACCGCTCCCTGACCGAGAATCGTGGGCCCCTCCAGCACAGTCTGCAGACCCTATGACCGGCCGTGGGGAGTTCTGGTCAGGATGCCCGAGAGAAGCAGGGGAACAACAGAATGCAACATGGCAGTCATCACACCTGATCCCGTGGGCATGGACTCCTGGGAACCTGGCGACCCAGGACTAGACCCTGTACCCACAAGTCCCTTCTAAGCAGAGCCTCGGGCAGCTCTTCCCTGAACCCATGAGCTCTTCGTGGTGTGACCTCCTAGAAAGGCCACGTTCAGTCTTTCCCACACTCGCTATGGCGCTCCCAGCCCTCGATTCCTCATGCACCCCCACTGGCCACCCCGCTGTCTGCCTAATTGCTTGGCAGGAGGGCTGTGTTATCTAGGACACACAGGAATCCACGCTCCCCGAAGCAATTAAGCTCCCAGGACAGAGGAGGGGTGGTGGATCTGAAAGACAGCTCTCTGGAGCGGGTTTGTCACTCGCGCCAACAGGGGCTCCGTTGCACCTGCCTCCTCCAACCTGCACGCTGGGACGCTCAGCCCTGCCGACAGATGGCGTCTGCTGCAGAGCGGCGTCCTGGATAAAGTGGGTCAGGCCTGGGTCTCAGTCAAGGGCGGTGTGTTCCGGAAATTTCAAGAAATGGCATGAAGAGACAGACCTACACCACCCTGAATGAGAACCCAGGCTGCCAGGGCTGGAAGAGCAGACCCCGCGGAGGCCCAGGTGCCACCCTCCACCATCAGAGGGCCTCGGGGCGGGAGGCACAGTCACTCTCAGCCTCCTCGCTCGTGGAGGTGGTACCAATAGCCTGCTGTGTACGTCCTTGCAACCCTCCCTGTGAGCTGCAAGGGACTAGAAAACTAAAGTTCAGAGGGTGAGGGAAACGCCCCAAGCCACACAGCGCCAAGCGCGGCAGGGCTGGGGTTTGCAACGCGTGGACACAGCCACAGGGGCTGTGCCTCTCGGGGGCCGCAGGGCTGAGGGACCACCCCCTGCGGGGCATCCGACCCTTCAGTGTGGGCTCTGACCAGGCTGCCTGGGTTCAAACCCCAGCTTTGCCCTTTGCCGGACGCAGCCCTGGGGCAGCTTAGCCTCTGTGCCTCGGTTTCCCCACCTGTGAGGTGGGGATGACGCCGGCCTAGCTGATGGCACTGCTGAGGACTCAGTGAACACGTGGGAGGCCCTCAGCACGTGCAGGAGAGCTCTCGGTAAAGACGGGGTGGACGGCTGTGGATGGACGTGAGGAGCAAGTATTGTGCAGTGTCAGCCCGGACCTTCTGGTGAGACCCAGGTGGGAGCCGTACCTGGCCAATGCACACGACCACGGTGTAGCCCCCGGGGCCGACCGCCAAGCACTTCGGCTGGACGTCCAGTTTCACAACTCCCTGTCCGCTGTGGAGAGAAGGACGCATTAGTCTCCAGGGGTGGCTCAGACGCACACTCAGGGTAGGACCACAGCCGCTCGGTGACGGGTGGGAATTCCGCCCAATCGCAGCTGAAGGAGCCTTTGCCGAACAGACACGGGAGGGAAGGAGGAAAGACTCCCCAACTCTAGGAGAAGACAGAGTCGAGATGGGGGGCTGGGACGAGGGGTGGGGGTGGCGAGAGGAGGTGAAAGGAGCACTTCCCACAACTGCACCGAGGGCTGTCCCCCACTGCTGCCCTGTCCTCGGTCAGGCCCCACGTGCACCGGCCAGACACCCCGGCTGGCACTCCCTGGATTCAGACAGAATTCAGTTCTGGTCCTAACCTCTCAAAGAATCTGGCTCAGATGGTGAAGGATCCACCTGCAATGCAGGAGACCCAGGTTCAATCCCTGGGTTGGGAAGATTCCCCTGGAGGAGGGCATGGCAACCCACTCCAGTATTCTTGCCTGCAGAATCCCCATGGACGGAAGAGCCTGGCAGGCTACAGTCTATAGGGTCTCAAAGAGTTAGATACAACTGAGCGACTAGCACTTTCACTTTCCCATTCTTCCACGGCCATAACCAGTCTCCTCCACAATGTAATTTAAAAAAGAAAAAAAAAATATATATATATATATATAAAACTGGTACTTTTAATGGGATGGGTGAAAATTGTCTTCTTTTGGTAAATGGAGAAGGACATGGCAACCCACTCTAGTATTCTTGCCTGGAGAATTCCACGGACAGAGGAGCCTGGTGGGCTACAGTCCGTGGGGTTGCAAAGAGTTGGACACGACCGAGGGACTTAGCACTTTTGGTTAAAACTACAAAGACACATCCCAGAAAAATCTGCACACACAAACCACTTCTTAACGAACGGTAAACGGAGGAAAACGCCACAGAACTGAGCCGAGCGTGGTGCCTCCCAGGCGGGGTGAAGGGGCCCCTGCGGCAGGGTGCGCTGGTCAGCCTGGCCTCGGGGGGCGGCAGCAGCACGGGCACCCCCGAGGGCGACCCCGCTGCCGACGGGCTGGCGGCCGGCCCCGCAGCGCTCACCTGTAGTCCCGCAGGGCGAGGCTGGTGTACCGCACCGTGTCGTCCATGCTGCAGCTCACCAGCTGCCCGCGCTCGTCCACGGTCATCCGGGACACCTGGTTCGTGTGGCCCTTCCCGGCAAAGGAGTCGTTCTCCCCCGTCTCGGAATCCCAGTAATGTGGGGCAGGGGGTTAAGGAAGAGCCTGGCTGCAGGATGTGGTGTGTGTCCACCCTGGGGAGGCCACGGCCCGTGCCCCATCCCAGGCAGCACATTAGGGATGGGACGGTGGGCACCGGGCCGAGTGAACCTCTTCGTGCACATTCAGCTCCAAATTTCAGGGAGTGGACGTTGGGATCAACCAGCAAGAGGGCACCCAGTGGGAGAGTCCACCCGTCTCGAGAACGAGAACCGGGCAGGTGGCAGGATGGTGCTGCCCTGCCACAATGCAGCGGTGCCTCTGTCCGAGGGGGGCCAGGAGGAAGCCCGGTGGGGACCCCGCATACCTGGGCCGATGCCCCAACCCCCTTGCTCTCTCTTGCCTGCTGTCCAGCCCAGCACCTTCAATGGGAGGTGGGCTGTGCCGTGAGGACTGGCTGATGGGCGCCCAGGTACCACCCGGCAACCGGTCCCAGGCTAACCCAGCTGGGTGCCAGGGTGTGGACTGTCTGCTCGGGGTGCCCGGGCCGGGGACGAGCAGGGAGGAGGGCATGGTGCCCGGAGTCGGGGGACACGGGGCAGGACCCCAATCGGACCCTCTTCTGTTTTGATGGGGTGGAGGGGGACCTCTGCCCTCCTCCCTCGGGGACTGTTCCCAGGAGGGAACCCTGTAGACAAGGCAGGCTCACGGAGGTGGGGGGAAGCGCAGGGCCTGGGAAGCCCCTCCAGGGGCAAGGCAGCCACAGGCCAGGGGCTGGGCGGCCCAAGGGCACGCCTCTCACGTGGCCACGATGCCTCGCCGAGCCAGGCCCTGCAGACCACCCCCCCAACACTGGCCATCCTAGAGGGAGGGGCGGAAGGGCTGCTGGGAACGTCTCGGGGGGACCCCAAAACCCCACACCGGGGGACGGGGCGTGGGCTCTGCCCAGCTCTGCTGTCGCCAAGTGGAAGCCACTCAAAGGTGTCTGAGCTTCGCTCTTCCCGTTTTTAAGACAAGGGGACTAACCCCTAAAAGGCTCTAAGTCCTTCCAGATCGTAACGCACGTGGATTCTGCTGCTCGTGACGGGTGAGGCCGGGACCAGGTCACAAACACGGAAGTTCAGCAACCAACCACTCAAGGCCGCACAGCGAGTGAGCCATCGGGTCAAGGCCGTGACCCGGAGCTGGAGGGCCAGAGTGAGGACCGGGCCACCTCTCGGCGGCCAGGACCGGGCATAGGAGCCCCATGGCCGCCACCTGGCCAGCCTGGCCCATGGCCCCGTGGGAACAGGAAGCTCCCATCTCTCCTGCCAGGGCCCGCGGAGCCAGGGCTGTGAGTCAAAGGATATTAATGTGGCCATCGTGGCTCCCGGAGTAGATGTAAGACTTGCCGCCGTTTTTATGCACCGTCAGGCACTGGATGGATTTGCTGTGACCCTGCGGAGGAGAAAGATGGGCGGGGTGAGCTGAGGACACGCCGGCGTCCAGCTGGTAACTGTCAAATGCTCGCTGCCGCCGGCTAAGCCCCAGGGAGAGGCCACTGCCCTTGTGGGCCTGAAACACCACCCCCGGCTGACCCATCCCCTTGACATCTGGGTCCCTCCCCACCCAGGCACTTAACCCTGACCTGTGTGGAGGACAGGGGTCTAGCGGGAGCCCCAGCAGAGCGCTCAGGTCTGTGCAGACTGACCCAGGCAGCCGTCCTCACCTCCCCAGCCACGGAGGACAAGCCCCCACCTGGGGCTGGGTCTCCAGGAAGGTGAAGGAGCAGTACTGGGGGCCCAACCCTCGCAGAAGCAGAACCCTAAGGCCACTGGATGGCCCAGAGTCTCCACCCAGAGACACAGCTTATGGCTCCAGCTGCCGCTCCAGGCTCGGAAGGATTCTTCTCTCCTGAGACGCCTCCCCCAACCAGAGCTGTGACCCCCACAGCCAGGGCAGTCCCAGGGCAGTGATCCCTCCCCGATCAGCAACTCATCTACAACCAGACGCCTGCTTCGAAAGGGGGCATTTAACCTCCCTTTCTAACTGCTTCTGGGATGGAAAGAACCTAAGAGGTGGGGTTTAATCACAGCTCTTTCCCTTCCTCAGATGTAGCTGGGGCCCTCTGAGCATCACTGCTGCCACAACATGATGTGTGTACTAAAAAGCAGAGACATTACTTTGCCAACAAAGGTCCATCTAGTCAAAGCTTTGGTTTTTCCAGTAGTCATGTATGGATATGAGAGTTGGACTATAAAGAAAGCTAAGTGCCGAAGAATTGATGCTTTTGAACTGTGGTGTTGGAGAAGACTCCTGAGAGTCCCTTGGACTGCAAGGAGATCCAACCAGTCAATCTTAAAGGAAATAAGTCCTGACTATTCATTGGAAGGACTGATGCTAAAACTGAAACTCCAATATTTGGCGACCTGATGCAAAGAACTGACTCATCTGAAAAGACCCTGATGCTGGGAAAGATTGAAGGTGGGAGGAGAAGGGGACAACAGAGGATGAGATGCCTGGATGGCATCACTGACTCGATGGACACGAGTTTGAGTAGACTCCGGGAGTTGGTGATGGACAGGGAAGCCTGGCATGCTGCAGTCCGTGGGGTCACAAAGAGTTGGACACAACTGAGTTATTGAACTGAACTAACTGCTCCTGGGATGGAAAGAACCTAAGAGATGGGGTTTAATCACAGCCCCTTTCCTCCTCAGATGCAGCGGAGCCCTCTGAGCACCGCTGACTGTTGCCACGATGTGACGTGCATCATCAGAGATAAGGTACACATAGTTCTCATGGACCCTGAATCTTTCCCACAGGGCAGCGACCCACCAGGCCGTCTACTTAAACGCGTGGCCCTCACACCACCCTTGACCTCACCGGGAGTCTCACCCCATGCAGCCTGGGGACCCAGAGAGAACCTGTGAGCAGCAGGATGCCTGAGGACTTGGCCCGCCCCCTCTGGGGCAGCAAGCAGCCTTGCCAGGAGCCTGTGAGCACTGGGGCTCTCCCGCGCCCCACGGATGAACGCTGTGAGCACTGGGTGCCGCCCAGCTGCCGTGTTCTAACAAGAGGGCCCGCTCAGGTGATTCAATTCTGATGTAGCTTCCAGCTCAAGCCAGAGGATCACCTGGGTGCATCTTAAAAGTATCAGCCCCTAAGAGCTTCCTACGGTCTCTGACTACATCCCGATGGGGCTGGCCAGGCATCAAGCCCTTTATGGAAACTTCTAGATGACCTGAACGTGCTGAGAAGAGCTGACTTAACTCCAGCCTGTTCCTGGGCTCACCCGCAGCCCGACGTTAGCACCAAATACCCCTTGGGATTCATGAGCAAGCCACACGAGGCCTAAGGAGGCAGACGGCCTGGCCTGGCACCCGCCTTGTGTGCACGGTCATCAGGAGCCCGAGCCCACGAAAACCGCCACCTCACGGACTGTGGGGTGCACACACACTGCAGGGCCAGGCAGCCGGCAACCCACTGACTGAGGGAGGGACTGGGCCCCCGGGGAATAATCCCAGCCTGGCCTACACCCAGGCCTCGGGGTCCAGGCGCCTCCCGGAGGCTGTCTGCATGGCCCTAAAGCAGCTGAGTGAGCAGGGTGTGAGGAGGTGCTGGTGTTAAGCCCCAGGATGGGGAGCCGCTTGAAGCCGCGCTATGGAGACCCCCTCCCTTGAGAACACGGCTCACCCAAGGCCGCCAGGGCAGGTGAGGCCAACCCTGAGCACCCACCCTGCAGCAGAAGCAGGCCCGCGGTGGGCAGGGAGGCGGGGGGTGGGTCAGAGCAGGGCCCCAGGACACAGGAGTTCCCAGTCTGGCTGCAATTTCCTGAGACGCCACTATCCACAGGGCTGAGGGAGGGAGAAGGCACGGCCCCACCCGGATGGGACACTCGGGGCAGATGCTGGCGGCCAGCTGGTCCCGATGAGATGAGGACGGGAGGCAGGGAAGGGGGGTCCTCCCCACTGCCCCGCAGTATCGCTCCCTGCTGCCCACACCTTGGGCCTCTACCCTTGAGGACTCCACGGGCTTCTCCAAGTCCACATCCGTTTCCAAGTCCCCACTCCCCACCACTCCCTGGTGCCCACCCTGCCCTAACCACACGGGACAAGTGCCTCCCCACTCATTCTCACGTTCACACCCTGCACATCGTCCTGGTCAAGCTCCAAGGCCAGCTGGGCCCCCCACAACTGCGGCCACACCCCGCCACATGCCTCGTCTCGGGACTTAGCATCTTCCTGGTCCTGCCTGATGCAGGGGACACAGCCGGTGGGCTCCTAACCGAGGAAGGCTGAGCCCCTCGGGACAAACGAGTCACGAGAGCAGGGGCGAGGGCCACGGCCCTGAACGCCCAGCTTTCACAGCAGCTCAGGGGGAACTTGGCACCTGGCCTCTCTTCTCTGCTAAACTCACATAACCAAAGCAACCCACGTCCTGCCGTTCCACTGGGCCTCCACCTCGCCTCAGCTGCCCCTTCTCCGGTTGGATGCCCACCTCCCCTCCAGCCAGCCCTTGCAGGCTGAGCTGCTCTGCGGCCCGGCCTTACCTTGATGACCCGCAGGGGTTTGCTGGGGTTGTTTTTGTCCAGGTAGTTGATGTAGCCGGACAGGGAGATGCTGAGGAGGTGGTCCTTCTGCCACAAGCAGCCTAGTTGCTGGTCCAGGACGTTGGAGCCCATGGTAAACGTGTTGACGACCGAGTTCGCGTTGACATCCCAGATTTTCGAGGTTTTGTCTCCGGAAGCAGAGAGCAAATGGGTGCTTTCAGGACTCCAGCTGATCTACTCAAACGAATGGTGGTCACGGGTCAGAGCATTCCACAGCGGGTAAGAGATTCAGACACCGGGGCTGTGTCCACAACCCTGGTGTCTGAGCAGGGACGACAGCCCAGGAGGTGGTGGGACACACAGGGCAAGGACGGGATGAGCATCCCAGCCATGGGCTTCTGCAGGCCACGACACCCTGTCCCGCGTTGACCTTTGCCAGCACCCCCACTTCTGACCCCTCATCTCAAGCCTCCAACTTCAACATGCATACAGATAATGGTAAAATCAGACAGGCCTGACAACCACAGAGCAAGCCGTGAACACGGGCCCATACTCACAGCGTAAATGCCGCCATCGTGAGCCTTGCCTCCTCCCAGCGCACACACTTTCTCTCCCGTCTTCCCGTCATAGATGAAGATCTTTCAGGAAATACAAACATGTGGATCACGTATATGTGTGTGCACACCCAGCTGTCAGCACATTGACTGAGCTCCTCCCACTCATCCCCACTTCACCATGAAGAGGGTTGGCAACTGTGACTTTACAGGAATTCATCAAAACTGGATGAATTTCGAGCTCCTTTAAAAGGAGACCGACAGAGAGGTGGGGTTATCACACTTTGAGGACACAGCATCAGATGGAGTCACATCCTGGGAGGAGGGAGGGAGGGAGCTGCCCACTAGGACCAGCTTCACTGAGTCTATCTGTTCCCAACAACCAGAGGCCCAAGAGATGATCGAACCACCACCCCACCTCCCGGGTCCCAGACCTCACCTGGCCGTCGGCACTGGCCGTGGCAAATCTGTTCCCGTCGGGAGAGAATCGCACGCAGTTGACAAAGCGGCCGTGGTCCTGCAGGAAACGGGACGGTTATCCAGGGACAGGCAGCTTGGGAAAGCTCTCCATGAGCTCTGAGGCCCACAACCACCATGCATGCAAATGCCAGTCCACGGGAGCCCTCTAAGCTCGGCAGGAGCCCTGAGCAGACAGGCCGGGAGGTCTGGCTCAGCCCCCTGCCTCAGCCGGGCCCGTCTCTGCCTGCCAGGCCTCCCTCCTTTGTGAGTACACGCTCCCTGACGTCTGCAGACAGAAATGCCACCCTCCCTCCGACTCTGAAGTCCACTCAAGCTCAGAACCGCTATGCTGAGTGAGGCTAAACTGTGAGGCCTTGTTTCTGAGTTCCCGGAGCCTGGCCTGGGGCCCAGCACAGAGCAGGCGCTCATCTGAGCATTTGCTGAACGAACTGAGGTTTCAAAGAAATTAAACAGTGGTGATGACCTTCCTGGCAATAAGAGTCTGAGGAGGTGTGACCTCCAGAGGTAATTCCATTACCTGAAAGAGTAAATGAAGTCGTTCTTTCCTGGGTCAAGAATGGACTGCGTCAGAGAGTGATCCTCTGAAAACCCCACAAGCCACTAATCCACAGCCTGAGCCCTGCCCCTTGCAAGCGCGCACGAAGCGACAGGTGTTGTCAGTTCTCCTAAAGGTGCACGGGGTCACCTGCACCCTTGGCCACAGATGCCCCACCTGCAGGAAAAGCCATTCGACTCAATGCAAATCACCGGCCCCTGCCGAGGGAAACCACCGACAGTTTTAAAGCCTGAGCTGCTGGGCTGGAAGGAGTTGCATGTTCTTGTGTATAAAGTTTATCGATGGTTTGAAATCCCAGGACCTGTGAACGTGACCTCACTGGAAACAGGGTCTTTATGCGTGTAGTCAAGGTGAAATAACACCCCGGAGGGTGGGCAGGCCCTGACCCAACATTACAGGGGTCCTCGTGGGGAGAGGGAAATCTGGACTCAGCGCAGACACTGGGGCACCACGTTGAAAGGTTGTTGCTGCACCACAGAAGATGCCAGGATTCTTGGCCTCTGGAGGAGAAGAATTGAATCCAGGGCCAGAGATGAGGCTTGATCACTCAAGAGCTTTTGTGTAATAGAGTTTTATCAAAATAAAAAAGAGATAAGAGAAAGCTTCTGACATAGACATCAAAAGGGGCAGAAAGAGTGCCCCCCTCGCTAGTGTTAGCAACGGAGTTATATACTTTTAACCAGTTACTGCTGCTGCTGCTGCTGCTGCTAAGTCACTTCAGTCGTGTCCGACTCTATGTGACCCCATAGATGGCAGCCCACCAGGCTCCGCCGTCCCTGGGATTCTCCAGGCAAGAACACTGGAGTGGGTTGCCATTTCGTTCTCCAACTACAGTGAATCAAAACAATGTCTGGAGGCTATAAAGACCTTACTAGACCCACTCCCATAATTTACATTTTAACATAACAGGATTAGCCAGAAGGTTTTTTCCAGAAATGGTCCTCAAGCAGGATACAGTATTGTTACATAATCCTAAGAAATGTAGAGGAAAAAAACTTTGTCCTTTCCTCCTTGAGAATTCCAGACCCCTCTCTCCTTGGGGACCCCCGGACTTATCGACCTGCCTAGGAACTGGCTCTCTCAACGTGAAGATGGGGGCAGAGACTAGGTTACGCCCACCCCCCCGCACCCTGTCCCAGGGTAGCCTGTGTTGCCTTTTTCCTTTATCACGTCCACTTATCCTGCTTCTCAGGCCAACTTTTCCAGCTCTCAGGCTCGTGTTCTGAGTTAGGTGTAGGACAGCTATCTCCCTGCAGGCTTGCGATCCATCAAGATGAATGAACTTTCCCAACTGGGCCCTCTGACTGCCCTTCCCCACGACCGTGGCTCACAGTCACCCTACCACCTTGAGACCCCTGGGGAGCCTCAGGTACCCTTCTTTCCCTAGGGGACAACCAGGCCCCAAGCGGCCCAGGGTTCTGGGAACCCAGGTCTCCAGTTTCCCGTGTAAGCTCTGGCTCTCGGCCCTGGACAGGAGGCAGGCAGGCAGGCCAGCCGGGCAAGGAGCCCGGGGGTTGATCCTTAACTCCTCAGGCCCACAGCCAGCGGCCTGCCATCCCCAGAGCTGCGAGGGAGGGGGGGCCTCGACTGGCCTGTGTCCCTTGTGTGGTTCAGGATGAGTGGGGAGGACAGACAGGCAGACGCGGCTCCTCCTGCATGAGGTCAGAGGAAAAGCGACCCAATCACTGCTCTGCACGCCTGCCCACACATCTGGTCCTCTTGTCCACACCTCTACTGGCTGACCCCACCCTGCTGTTCTGGGTTCCTGGGTGGTGAGGTGGGTGAGGGAGGGGGCTGGGCCGGCCCCCCTGGGTCCCTGTGACTGATCCGGCATACCAAGAGCGCCCCGCGGTGGAGCAGACCACGGGGCCAACGGGGGGGATATGCTGGGGGGGCGTGAGGAACACGCTATGAACCAGGGGGACCCTGGGTCACCCTGCAATGCCGGCTTGTCCAACTCCGGGTACCGTGGTTCCTTGAAAAACAGGACTAGCCTCCCTACACACCCAGCTCAGAGATCAGCACAGAAACCGGGGCTTCCCCTGCCCGCCTGCCGCCCCCAACCCTACAGGGATGTCACACGTGTGGACCTGTCTGTTATCTGTCGTCCCACCCCTGAACCAAGCAGGCTACCGGGCAAGGGTCAGACGTCCCCCCACCCCCACCCCCGGAGACCAGGCGCTGTGGCTGTAGAAAGTCTCCCCGTCAGCTTTTCCTGCCACTGGAGCCAAGAGCCCAGATGAGCGGGAGACTGATGTCTGCTCCTGAAAATAGCCAATTTAAAGGGAGGAACAGTGAGCAGCGCATTAACCAAAAAAAAAAGGGGGGGGGGCTAAAAATAGCTGGTTCCACAGGGAGGGGAGGCCAGAGGACAAAGGACCAGGCTGGGGGAAACATCACGGAGGGTTCAGAAGACAGAGCTGGGCTCTGAATTCCCAGACCCCCTACAGTCCTGGAGGGGCGGCACCATCCTGCAGGCCCCTGGGGAGGGGGCTGTCCTGCCTGGCCCACTTCCACCCAGCCTCAGGCACAGCCGAGCCAGAGCTCTGCTTGGGGCAGTGTCAATGGACACTCCCAAGAACCTCCCCACTCTAATCACCTCCCACCCACCCTGTTATTACCTGTGCCCCATCATTACCTCCCCCACTGTCATTACACCCATCATTATCCCCCCCATCGTTACTGCTCCCCCATCACCCTTCCCCCATGACTGAGAAACCCGAGATGGGAGCCACCAGCAGTAATTAGGTAATGCACCGCGTCCAGTCACTGACGGGGTCACAGAGCCACTGGGCTCCACTGCTGACCAGCCTGTCAGCTCGGGTGTCCCCAGAGCCCGCCCTGGCTTCACCAGCCTTGGCGGAGTCCTGCAGCAGGACTCCTACCTGCACGCTGAAACCCTGGGTCACTTGCCCCTGATCCCGCATCACAGACTTGCAGAGGGACCAAACAGCTTGGATGCCCCGGCCCACCGCCCCCACACTCACTGAGGGCAGCAGGTGCCTCTGTGGTCAGCACCCCAGGAGTGGGTGTCCATCCTGACCTGGAAGGCTGCCTTGCCCCCTTCAGCCCACACCCCCTCCCAAACCCAGCTCCCTCTCCCTCTGCGAGGTCGGGTCCCTCTGCCAAGTGCCTGGAGGGGCAGCACCACGTTCCTCCCCCGCCTCTCCTGTCGCCCTGCACAGACCTGCCCAGAGTGACCACTGGACCTGATGGAGAATGAAAAGGCTCCTTCGAACCCTCCTTAGGCCACTGACCATCCACGGAGCTTGGCCGGGTCACCCCCTGCCCCACGGACCTTCCGGCATGACCCCCATGGACACGCACACAGCTTTCCGAACAGCTGGCACGAGGCTGTGCTGGCTAAGGACCGCTCAGGTCAGCTGTGTGCCCAGGCCAGGGCCAGTGCAGGGCGGACACCTGAGACGCACTTGAACGCAAATCTGTTTCCTGCCCTGCCATAAGGACACGGGAAACCACAACAGCCCGGAAACCTCACACATTCAAGCTCAAAGTTTATGTGTCTAGGAAGGTGATACTCGCAATTACAGTGAAGACCAAGGTTCTAGAAGGAAGTGCAGCTCCTCCCATGGCGTGATGTGTGAGACACCCAGGCGCCAGATTGACTGTGCAGCCCACTTGGGTGAAGGGGAGGCCAGGTGTCCACCAGGGTGCGCTCTGCTCTCAGAGGCCTGGGGAGACGCGGTGGGCAGTTTCCAGTCCCAGACCATACGGCCACAGTCTGACAAGCGGGCCTGGGGCAAAGAAGGCCCCAACGCTTCCTGCTCTGAGCCATCATTTCATCAGGCACACATACTATGGAACAGACCGTGGACACAGTCACAGAGGCGTCTGCTCTAGGAGTGCCCACCTGCCCACCAGAGGAGGAGGTAGAGGCTGGAGAAGCGTTGAAACTCACCAAGGCCACAGGTGGCCAGGTGCAGACAGGCGGGTGAGCGAGCGATGCTTAACGGGCCTGTGACCACACACCCAGACGCACCCAGCCCAGGGATGCCCTCCGCAGGAAGAAGGCCCCGTGGGAGAGGCAGGGATGGGCAAGGTCCTCCCGCCCTCTTTTCAGGCCACCCTGAGGGCCTTGAACCTAAAGCCCCGGACACAGAGTACTGCTGCCCACGGCCTCTGTCTCACAGCTGGTCCCTGGACCCTGGCATCGCTTCCCCGGGCAGGCTGGGGTCAATTCCAGGGAGAACTGGAATCTCAGCACCTCCAACCGGTGCTCCTGCAGCCTCTCAGCCTGTTTCAGGTTCAGACAAACAAGGATGGCGGGCCGGGCCGGAACCTAGACCGTCTGGCTACAGGTGCGCACGACTCAGCTTTGCCTCCACTCTTGCTCTGCCAACAGGAGAAGGTGTTTTAAACAAACTCTGAACAAGAAGGAAAAACAACAGGACCCCTGCACTCAGGCCGGCAGGTGGGCGGGTGGCCAGCCCACATGTTCTGTAACACTGCTTTCCTTCCACGCGGGTCCGAGCCTCCTGGGAGTTGATCCGGAACACCAGCTACTCCTTTCTGAGGCAGCAACTTGAAAATGCCCACCCCTTACCCCACGGCCCTAAACGTGGTCAGGAGGAAGATGGCAGGAGCTAGAACGTGGACCAATGGTGGCCCTCACGTTACAGATTTACTTTGGGGCCATGACGGCTGAGGCCAGGTACACACGGAGCAGTCACAGGCTGACCTTGCCATCAGCCCCTTAGGAGGCATTTAGGAGGGTGTGGGGGATGCCGAGCGTCCTCCTGTCCTTTCTGTTCGAGGCCAACTGAGCCTGTTAGAATCTCTTCCAACAGAAGCCCAACAGCTTCTTATGGACATTCACAGCACCTCTCCTTTCATCCCCACAGCTCTGGGGGCCGTGGAGGAGGGCTGTCCTCACCCTGTTTCCAGGAGGAGCTCAGAGGCAGGGCCAGCCCGACAGCCGCAAAACTGGCCAGCTGCAGTGCTGGGCTGCCACCCAGGGACCCCATTTCTAGTCTGCAGCCCCTTCTGATCTCTGCTAGGTCCTTACACAGAAGACCTGGGGACAAGCTGCATGCCCACCCTGGAGACAGATGTCGGCCGGGGCCGTGGGGCGAGGGTGGTGCTCCCAGATGAGAAAGGAGTGTGGAAAGGGGAAGAACCTTCGGCCAGGTCCCCAGGTGAGCCATCATTTCCTCAGGCACACATACGATGGAGAGAAGACTGGCAGAGGCGAGGAGCACAGGCTCGGGTCAAGTCTGGAAAGAATCCTGAGTCCACTTTACCCCCCCCACTGCGCTGCTGGGTCTAACCCATATCTGCAAAGAGCAACTAAATCCTTGGGCGGGTTGAGGGGGGCGGCAGGGGGTGGATGGACAGGAGCCCTGCCCTCCCACAGCTCAGCCAAGTGAAAACAAACAGCGAGTGTGCGGGGCATGGGGAGCTGGGCGGGCTAGCCCCAAGGGGATGAGCTGGGAAAGTCTCCGGTTGCCACGGAAACCTTCCCTCCTTCCTGCGCTGGGCGCCGCGCAGGGAGCCCAGCTACTTGACTCAGCATGACTCATCCGCGCTCCAGAGTTCCTTATCCCGCTCAGGAAACATGACCTTGAACACCACCCCACCCTGACTAGCAGCCTCGGGGGCCAGCCTCTGGGAGGTGCTGGGGGCTCGGGGGACTCCAGGTTGTCCGCCTTGAAGGGCAGAGGAGCCACGCCCACTGTGCCTCCCAGGCAGCCAGCCAGAGAGCCTGCTGGGGGCCCTGGGATAAAACTGACCCCGCTTCACCACCAACGGGGAACCTGTAGAAGCCCCTCTGCAGCCGGGCCAAGACCCGTGTCCAGAAATGCTGCCCACAGCCCGGGTCCTGTCCCCGGGACACCCCAGGGGCCCGCCGAGAACCCTCACCACCATCCAGCCACGCCCTGCCCGCTGTTCATGACTCACTGAATCATCATCATAATTCATGGGACTCCTCAGCAAGCCACTAACATTCTGGACACGTCCCCGGACCTTGGCCAAGCCCAGCTCAGCCACCTCCATGGGACACAGCCGGCCGTAAAGGGCCGAGTGTCCTCCACTCTGCAGCTCAGCAAGGTCATGTCCACCTCCAGCACCAGGGCTGAGGGCCTTGCAGTGTTTTCACAAGAGATGCTGGGAGGGCAGGTTCAGAACCATGACCACCCCAAGACTCACCGGTGGGCCATCCCCAGGTGGTGCCCTTCCTTCCATATTCCAGTCTCAGACCCCCAGGCGGGAAATGAGCCTCGTGGGCCACTCCGGACCCAGGGAGGGAGCTGTGCACAGCTCAACTCCATGGCTAAAATCTCTCAAGCCTGTGTCCCACGCCCATCTTGCAGATGGATCAAGTGAGGCTGAGAGGGTCGGGCCCACGTGCAAAGCTGCGGGGACCAAGGCCCTGCAGTCACTCACACCAGAAGGCTGTGTGGTTCCACTCGGCATTTAGCGCACACCCCACAGGAGCACCCAACTCTACTCACCACGTGTCACCTTAATGGTGTGACCCTGCCCTCATCCTTCTCCCAGGAGGCGCCGGAGGGAACAAGACCCAGACATCCCTGGAGCTCAGCTCCTCTGCCAAGCTGGTGGCTCAGTGGGCCTCACACTCGCACAACCAGAGGGCAGGCTGCCTTGGGCCTGGACTCCCCTAACAGGGTACTTCTGGGCCGGACACTCGCCTGGTCAGAGATGTGCCCCCCGCCCAGTACACACACGGTCCCAGGGTGAACCCACTCTCTGCCCACCCCCAAGTGCTGGAACCATCACCCAGCCAACCTGGCATGAACGCTGTGCACGCATGACCTTCTGCCACCAGCATCTAACAGGTCTAGGTTCCGCTGGCTTCACGCACAAGCCACGAAGCTCCCCCTAAAACCACCCTCCAGAGAAGCCACTTACGCCGATCGTGAACTTGAACTTGAACGGTGGCCCCTCAAAGAATGCGGCGCAGTTGTCGTCGCTGCCGGTCACCAGGCGGTATGGCCGGCTCTGCTTGATGTCCACGCTGTTGATGACTTTGTTGTGGCCTGTGATCTCACCCACGGAGGAGCCGCTGTCCCACAGGAAGACAGCTCCGAACCTTCACCCAACGAGAGGAGTCGCAGGAGAAGCAGGTCAGGCCTGGCAGGTTCCCGGGACGGGTAGCTGTGTCGCTAGCGACCAGGGGCAGGGATGCTGGCGGGGGCAGCCCCGCTCACAGCCGTGCTTCACACATGCTCCCGGAAAGAACCAGCACACCGGCACCCCGGGTCCGTCTGAAATGCGGGAGAGCTAACAGCCAAGGGACCGGGTGACCGTGTCTTACAGCCCCAGACCCAAGGAGCCTCCCGTGTGAAGATGCCTCAGAGGCACCAGCCAGGCCAACGGCTCAGGGTTCACCGGTTTCACGGCCGTTTTAATGAGGGGGTGGGGGGAATGATGGGGGCGTGGTTGGAGACACACCAGCTACCAGCCCCTGCTAGAAACAAGATGCCACCCTGCAGTCAGCGAGTAGTCGGCAGTCAATGAAAATGTGCTGTCTGCACTGCGAGCTGTGACTCAGTGAAGAAGGAATTAAGACCAACAGGGATGACGTAAGAGACAATGGAAGGATGAACAGCTATCAGGACACCCATTAAGAGAAAGCCTGAGTGAGGGAAATGGAGACCAGTTCAAAGTGCTGGACTGCGGCAAGGGGCTAAGGACGGAACCCTGCCTGCACCTGGAGCCAGGTCCTGACCCTGCTGGTCACCGGCCCTGTGAGGGCAGGCAGCCGCCCAGGGCCACCTGCCCAGCGTCCCTCCTCCCTAGTAAGGCCGTGTGGGGTGTGCCCTCCTGGCGATGACATCCAGCCTCCCCTCGTGGCAGGTGTGGCGGTGGGGAAGCTTCGGGAGGAACTCCAGTAAACACTCTAAGGAGCCCCACGGTTTGACCTCCATCTCCCTGTATCTAGAACGTGTGCAGGACAGCACGGGTTCCAGGAGGCAAAGGGCCGAGGATTTCGGATCAAAGGAGGTGCCTGGGCCCAAAGACAAACCCGGGGGTGGTGTGGAGGGCGCTCCCCATGGTGACACGTGGTTTTCAGACGTGCACTGCTAAAGCCAGCACTGTATCGAAGGCCCAGCACCCACAGGACTCAACACACACCCCCGTCTGAGATGCACGGATGTCACCAGAGCCCTCCCACCGGGGCGCCCAGGAGAGAAAGCCAAGCAAGGGACATGGACGGGGGCAGCGGGGAGCGGGGCGGAGGCCAGACTCACTTCTCCCTTCCTTCCCCGACCACGGCGATCCTCTTACTGTCTTCCGTCCAAGCAATGTCCTTGATCTTCCCAGCGAAGGGCTGGTACTCATACTTCAGCAGGTGCTCCTTCTGCGTGGTGTCCCAGATCCTCAGCTTCCCAGACACGTCTGTGGGAGCAACGGGGCAGTGAGGGTCACGCGGGCTCCAGGCACGCCATGCAGCGCTGCCCTCGGCCCACAGGCTGGTGGGCTGGCTGGGGTGGGGCTGGCCGGAGGCGTGGGCACCCAGCAGGTATGCCATCACTCAGAGCCCGCTGCCTCTGTGAGGACCAGCACGGGATCCCTGTGTTTCCCTGGGGATCACAGGCCCTGCACGGGCCATCAGGAAGCCCAGGGATGCATGGTGGCACCCCCCGAACCCTGGAAGCAGTCTGATTTACGACTGTATTCCTTTCCTTGAAGGGGGTCTAACTGGCATGCGGACTTGGGGCAACTTCCTGTAACATTTAGGAGCTAAAGATCTTCATTTGCAAAATGGGACAATCCTAGTGATGCCGGCTCTCCTGTGTGGGCACTGCAGTGACCGGTGGAAACGAGGGGTTCCCCTGTGCCCTGCAGGCCCCGCTCGTAGAGCCAGGCACCCCGCCAGCACCAGTGGCTGACAGCCTCCCAGGAGACACACAGGTCGGAGCTGGGAGGGATGACACTCCAGGCAGAACCTGACGCCAGGCCAGCTTCTCACTGCAGCACTTGCAGCCGATGAGTGATAAAGCATCACCTCCTCCCTGCCCGCCACCACCCTGACACCAGGTTCCCGGCACCAACCCCGACACGCCCCTTCCCAAAAGAGCAGGAGAGGCAGAGTGTTTTACAGGAACTCTTGAGGCTGGGAGCTCAGCCCTGCATGGGTCAGAGGTGGGGGGCGGGGGTGGGGTGGTGAGGGAAGTCCTGTTCCCCTAGAGTTCTGTTCGCCCTGCTTCCAGCATCCCTGGCTGCTTCACTGAACATGAGGTCTGGGGGAACAGCTAGGGTCTCCTGTTAGGGTCCACTGGAGCGCGGGTGTTGGCTGCAGATGCGACCCCTGCCCCTTGCGGCTCTGGGGGTCTAAAACACCCCCTACGACTGCACCCGAGGGGGGATAATCAGCCACCAGTGGGCTGTTGCGCCGACAAAGTGAGTCAACACGTGCGAAGTCTCAGACCAGCCCCCAGTCCGCTGCAGTCCAGTCAGTCTTTAACTGGTCAGTGGATTGCCTAGGACTCTGCAGAAGCCACTGGGGACCCCGCCTCTGCGGGCGCACACCAGGGGCTCCCGTCCGGCCACGGGGCAGCTGGAAGGGGACACGGGCCGCCCTGTGAATGGCACTGATGAGGGGCCCTGGTCTCTGGACCAGGTCCAGCCAGACGGCCTGGCACACTGCCCGAGGCTGGCCTGAGCGAGTTTAGCCCCTCGGCTGAACCAACGGGCCGGCAGGGAAAGGCAAGAAAGGGGCAGAGGCCAAGAAGGGAAAAGCGTACTGCGTGTGCAGGAAGGACACGTGCACTAACGCCCGTGCTCACGTGTGTGTGTGCTCACGCTCACGCGCGCACCAGGCCATGCAGTCCCCGTGCTCAGGCCAGCCCAGGGCGCTACACAGTTATGGAAAACACAGCAGCATTGGCAGCACGGGTCCGAACACAGCCCCACCCCCGACCCCAAGACAGCAGAGCCGCTCTCCCCCTCCCCAGGCTCGGGGGTGGCGGGGGGGCGCCTGCCCTGCCCTCAGCTCACTCCCCCTTAACAGGCCTGGCATCACAGTTCTTCTCCACTACCCGCCCTCCAATCCCAACCTGGACCATCAGCCTCCTCTGATGGGCCCTGCTGGTGCATTTAATTCTTTTCAGGAGCACTTGGGCTGGAAACAGACGGAGGGGTTAGACAGCAGGCGTGGCCCCATCGGCTGAGGGCAGCCCTAACCAGGGCCACAGTGCACGGCGGCAGACAGGGCCAGGGGAAGGGCTCCCTCCCTCCACCAGGCTTCCTTCCACCATCCGGAGAGGCTCTCTCCCCAGACAGTAAGCTGCATCCAGGAACAAAACAGGATCTGTTCGTGGTGAGCCTATGTCCCCACTTTGGTGAGGGGCTCACACCAGCGTCACTGGGGTATCGGGGTGGAGACTCCTATCCAGGAAACCACCACCCTCCCCCAGCAGCCTGAGAAGATCCCCTAGAAAGGTAAATCAGGCCCTGGAATGGCTCCACCCTGAGGCCCACCAGCCAGGAGCGAGGTTCCCCAAAGGCATACACTGCTGTCTGGTTTAGTTAGGGCTGGGGGCCTGGCTTCTGGCCTGGGCTCCTCACCCAGGGCTTCCGTAAGGTTCGATCCTTTATCTGAATGTGGACCAGCCAAACTTAGGGGGATTTAAAGACTCACAGATCTGAGGCTGGAGCCCTATCTGGGAGAGACCACAGGCTTCCTGAGGTCCCGGGACCCCCAACCCCACCCTGGACGTAGCAGGTGCCGAGTAACCCTCTTTAGCCAGAGAGCACAGCACCTTTCCAGCTCCATACTCTACACACAACACTATCTTTAGCCCAGAGCACTAATCTCTGCAGTAAATGTTTCCTGGTCTTTGCTCCATTCAAAGGACCAGCCTGCTAGAAACATAAAGCACACCGCCCACGGCTGGCTCGCGGCCCCACCCCGCTCACTTCCCCACCAAACCCGGGAGAGCTTGCACAAGAGGGAAAACGTGAGATGGAGCCTTTACTTCTGTGGACCGTCCTTTTCAACGGTCTCTGCACCAGCAGGCGAGGACCGTGCTTCCTGCTGGTTCAATGACCTGCCCGGGGACCGGAGAGCAGGCCTGGGCTCGTGAGTGATTCAGCAGCTGAGCCGTGGCTCCCAGCACCAGGCCGCTGAGCTGCGCCAACCATACTCCTCTCCCGAGAAGACACATAAAAGGCACCAGGGCCAAATCCCAGGCTTTAAATGAAGAGGCATTTTGCTGGCAAGCAAACCAGGGCCGGTGGGGGCAGGGGCGAGGAATCACAGGGCTAGAGTAAATCATAGGATATAAATTAGAGCAAGTTTTACAGATGGAATCAAGAGTAGGCCTAAACATAAAAATCATTAGGGGCCCATTTCATGCCAGCTCCTGGCCGAGCCCCACACACAACCCTGGGCGGCTGGCGTCAGCCGTCAGCAGGCACGCCTCTCACCCCGGAGAGTCCGCGGCTTTCAGGGACAGACCCTGTTCCCCTGTGGTGCCTGCCAGGGCAAGGCCACCCCAGGCATTGCACAGACATTGCTGCACGGGGTCCTCCCCACACCAACCTGGTAGGAACTAAAGCTCCCGTTTACAGACAAGACAGTTAAATTAAGGCCCAGGAAAGGGAGTTATTTTAAGGAAGGCTTGCACAGGTAGGACTTCCCTGGCGGCTCAGCGGTAAAGGAGACTCGAGTTCGATCCCTGGGTTGGGAAGATCCCCTGCAGAGGAAAATGACAACCCACTCCAGTATTCTTGCCTGGGAAATCCCAGGGACAGAGAAGCCTGGCGGGTTACAGTCCCTGGGGTTGCAGAGATAAGACACAACAGAGTGACTAAATAACACCACCACCAACACAGCTGTGAAGGGGCAACCCCTGCCGGGACAGTTCTACGCTGCCTCCCAGGCACGGACGAAGCGGTGTAGACGAATGGCCGCTGGTGTGTGTGATCCCTGCCCTTCTCCACTGGCCACTAGTCCATTCAGCCATTTGCTCATTTCTGTCCCTCTCCGGTCGGGGGAGGCTGACAAGGCCCACATCAGCTCATCCATTCAGCCCTTCCTGGGGCCTGGACGCAGCTGGACGCAGGCAGGGCTGCCGTCAACACTTGCTGGGTGTACGAACGCATGAATGAATGGGGGACACAGGGGGAGCCAGTCTAACTTGTGTGCCCCCCGCTTTCTCAGCTGTAGACCAGACAGCATCGGGGTGAACAGAGCCTCCTGCGACACGGGCATCTCACGTCCCACCTCTTGCCCAGCCTCCCGCCAAGCCACACAAAGGCCGGCTGCAGGGAGCCGAGACCCCAGCCGCCGACAGAGTGAGTGCCTGCCAGAGGCCAGAGTTGCGCCCGACACAGGGAAAAGGGCGGCAGAGAAAGGCGGCACGAGGCAGAGCTACAAGTCAGAAACACACACACACGCTCAGTGGGCTTCATACATCGCAGCACGTGAGCACCCCCGCGGACCTCCGAGCTGGAACCAGCTCTAGCGCTGCCAGCTACCGTTCTGGAAAGGGGCTTCTCGGTGGCTTACACTCCCCATGTCAGCCCCACCTACCAACCCCACCCTCCTGGACCTTCTTCCTTCCTGCCTCCTTCACCCATCCGCCCACACTTCCCAAGCCAGGCGCCCAGGACTCAGGGGGGAGGGGGGAGGTCGGGCCACACCACATGCACCCAGAAGCCACGCGCGGATGGACAGGTACCTCCGGAGGCGACGTAGAAGCCGCTGGGCGCGTACTTGGCCACTACCACCTGGTGGGCGTGCTCCGTGTAGATGTCCGCGATGGCCGGGTTCTGCAGGGACAAAACCAGAATGAACACAGGCAACCCAGGAGCAGGCAAACTCACCTTCCACTCTCTGGATTAACCAAGTTGGGTGGGAAGATGACATGTGGACACACACACACTCGCCTTCCACTCTCTGGATTAACGGAGTTGGGTGGGAAAATGACATGTGGACACACACACACACACACTCGGACATCAAAACACACACACACACACACACACACACTCGGACATCAAAACTTCCGTAAGGACGGAGTTGGGTGGGAAAATGACATGTGGACACACACACACACACACACACTCGGACATCAAAACACACACACACACACTCGGACATCAAAACACACACACACACACACACACACACACACACACTCGGACATCAAAACTTCCGTAAGGACGGAGTTGGGTGGGAAAATGACATGTGGACACACACACACACACACACTCGGACATCAAAACCTCCGTAAGGAAAATCCCAGAAATACACATACCTGCCTGGGTGACAAGAATTCTAGGTAATTTAACTGTTTTAAAAAAGAGGCGAGGTGATTTGCTTTCTTTCGGTACTTGCCAAACAAATATGTATTTTTGAAATACACATGGGACATAAAAGTTTCCTTAGAGGGAAAAAGAAAAATCTACGACTCCTTAATTTTCTCCCACTTGTAGGGGGCTGCTGCCTTCTCTGAGTCCAGCTCCCCAGAGTGGGTCTTCCCCGTTCAGAACCAGCTCTCCCCAGGCTGCCAGGCGGCGTCTGAGCCAAACTGGAGCCTCTGGCCTGGAGGAGCAGGAATAGACAGGCGGGCAGACAGCTGGGGGCCCCCTCCTCGTCCAAATCCCTCGATTCGGGAAAGTCCCGAATCGTGGCTCACATCCAAGGCTGGCTGGGCTCTGCAGCGAGAACTGGGCCAGCATCGGAGGCCAGGAGCAGCTCTGGACTCAGTGACCAGGCTTAAATGTACAGTTTATCAAAGTCGATCACGGCACTCCCCGGTTCCCCGACACACACGGCCCGGAGGCCGCAGCAAACCTGCGGCCCCGTGCTGAGGTGCTCTGTCATCAGAGCCCAGCGTCCTCCCAGGAGGGCAGAGAGAGCCAGGCATCTAATCCCCAACACCCGCCGACACACGCTCCAGAGCCAAGTGCCTTGTGAAAGGAGCAGCTACGGGCTGTGGATGCGTCAGGTCCCAGGGAGGCTGCTGTGGGTGCATCTGACCTGCCCCCCAACCAGCCCCACCTCTTCCCGCCACCTCGAAGTCTCCCCCTCCCCCGTCTCCTTAACGCCCCTCAACAAGGCCAGAGGCCCGGACTCTTCTCAGCTTCCTAGCCACAGGATCGCCCACCCCCTCACCCGACAGAGTCCGGAGAAGCGCACCCCTATGTTCCAGCTCTGACAACCACCCTCCTACCATTCCTGCAAGCCCCCCCCCGGTCTCCGTAAATGCTGTGCCCTGGCCAGCAACACCTCTTCCTGCCTGCTAACACCCACTTATCAGGCCTGAAGAGCCATCTGCATGAAGCCTGCCGTGACAGCCCCTCTCTCTCCTGCGCTTGCAAAGCATTTAACACGGTACACACCACGGTCCCTGGCCCCTTTATCCCTCTCCTCCAACGACTCTTTGACCTGCTCCATGTGCAGTTATCTCCTTTAGCCACCACAGCAGTTAGCAAACAACAGATGCTCAATTTCTTTTTTGCGGGGGGGAACTTTACACAGTCCTTTTACCCCTAGGACTTACCATCACATGATAGAGTTAAGTACTTAACATACACGGTTCATACATTAATCTGATGAAGAACAAACATTTGCAAAAAGTGAAATCAGAGAGACATCAAGCATTCGCAGATATTCTGAATGGCAAACAAGCCCATGCAAAGGCGCTCGATGTCATTAGCCTTTTAGGAAGCGCAAATCAGAACTACAGTGAGAAACCACCCCAGACCCAGGAGTCAGGAGAATTACGACTGACGTCACCAACTGTTGGCAAGGATGGGTGGGGTACAGTCTGGAATGTTTATATACTGCTGGGGGGAATGTAAAATAACACAGTGGCAAGAGTTGGGCTGGTTATTTATAAAGCTAAACATAACATTTATGCAAAAACCCCACTCCTAGGTATTTATCCAAGAGAAATAAAAGTGTGTGCCCACAAAAAGACACATGTGAAAGTTCATGACAGCCCCTAAGTGGAAAACAACCAACCCAAAGGTCCATCCCCAGGTGCCTGGAGAAGCAAAGTGCGCTGTCCACCCAGGGGACATGACTCGGCACACACACTGCTGTGGACCCTCAACCACAGGAGCCTCGAAAGCCTCACACTGAATGACAAAGCCGGATGCAAAGGAGAGCACGCTGCAGGGGTCCATTCTGATCAAAGTCCAGGAAAGGCCAGCCCACAGGCCACAGAAAGCGGGTTGTCTGCTGGGTCTGCCAGGGCCTGGGGGGGAGGGTGGAGAGGCCCATGGATTGACTGGAATGCTGATGGCGGGGGTGACGGGATGGTATTTAATTTGTCAAAACTCTAGTTATGTGTTTGAAATGGACGGGTTTTATTGTCCCTATTTTATTATTATAAAAGGATGATGTGTAGGATCCAGTAAACGTCGTTCCCAGCCCAACCTGCTTCTGCACAGGTTAGCCCTCTGGACTGGAACGTTCTAACGAGGACAACTTCCCTGATAGAGAAGCTGGGGAAAGTGGTCTGTGGCTGGGCGCCACTGAGGCCCTTGTTCCGAGGTTGACTGAGGGCTCTCAGCCCCGCCCGTGGGCAGGACAGTTGGGAGACCACCCCACGGGGGGACTCATGCCCAAGGCAATGCCCAGCCCAGCCCTGCCCTTAAAGGGGAGCGGGGGTGGGGCACGTGGAGAAGTGGAAAGTGAGTTAAGCAGCGGCCCTGGGAGGCAGTCCTGCCCCTTACAGACCATTCCCCTAAAGCAGCTGGGCAAGTGAAACCTCCGGTCAGTCCGAGCGGGCTCTCCCGGCGCCCCCGTCCACATTCCCAACACAACTGGGGGCGAGCTCCCAGGGCTGAACACAACAGAACACTCCCGAGTCAGCAGCAAAACCCCGCCCTCGGCTCCCCAGCCAAAGGGGATGCCTCCCTGTCCCCAGAGCCTCTGCGACCGCCCAGGCTCATGGCAGACCCGGCCCTGCAGGGCTGGGGCACCCCTCCCCTGGGACTTCCTTCCTGCCCTCCCCCCACCCTCCCATCAGGGGACAGGGGCTTCAAGCAGAAACCAGAAGGAAGCCTTGGCATTTGAGGCCCGTGGGTGCCTAGCGGATGTGGGCAGAGCCTGCGCTGGGTCCCCATGCACATACCAGCCCTGCCCCCCCACCCTGGGCGTGTCCCTCCACAACCCCCCACCTCTGACCCCAGGCCTGTCCTGGCCCTGCCCTGCCCTGAGATCCCACGCCTGTCCCAAGTCCATCCATCTCATCTCCCCACCCTGGCTAGATTCCAGTTTTTTCTGCTCCTCCTGGGACAAGGACAATACCATGACAACATGTGAAATGAACCCTCTGCCTTCCATCAACCCACACAAGGCTCTATGTCCCGACTCTGATCACACATTCAGAGGACCTGGACCGTTCCCACCTCCCTCCTGTGCGTGGAGGCCCCTCCCCAACCCAGGAAACGAAGCATTCTCCCCCCGCACCTTTCCACACGTGGAAGGAAAAATCCCTAAAGCACTCCCCCGTCCCCCAAGCTTTCACATTCCTGTGTCCTCTGAGGCCAGAGGTCACCACGGCACTTTACAGGTAAGGTTAAGGGGTGGCCCCAGCTACAGGGCATGGCAGCTTTGTCACGACACGCCTGGCCCTGAGGAACCCCGTGGACGTGTCGCCACATCAGTGAAGCTGTGGGACACAGCCCTGACCCTCTGGAGAGGCTGATGGTCTCCGGCGGCCTCCTCCAAACTCGACCAGGCAAAGTGATCTTTAGGAGGATTAAGTTTCCAGAGTGCTGGCTTTCTAGACACACCCAGTTCCTAAAAGCAGGCCCTGGAAGCCGACCTGTACGGTGGAACGTAACCTGCGGGGCCCTCTGCTTGCAGAGGGCCCAACTCAGTGACCGCCAAGCGGCTCCACAAACCTCTCCGCTTCCAGACCTGCGGAACTGAACCCAGAGGCTCAGCCCAGGGTCTGGCCAGCCCACTCTGCTCAACCTTGGAGGCTCCCTCTCACCCAGAGGAAGCAGCCCTAAGCCACAGTCCAAAGTCCATTTCCCATTCTGCCCCTGCCCTCCTCCAGCAGGTCACTCACTCTGATATTCTTCCCTTTATTCGCTGCAGGCTGGAATACCTTCCCTACTTCCCAGATAACCTTCTCTGAATTATCAGAGGCTCGGGCAAAGGCTCCCCGCCTCCTCCAGGAAGCCTTCCCTGATGCTCCAAGGTAGAAATAATCTCTCCCAGCCTAGGAAGCCCACACTACTCTCCCTACCCTCCGGCCCTTATTATTGCTACCTTGGGCACATGTCATTCTTACACCTGCAAAGCTTCTAAGTGGACCCCCACAGAGGGCAGAGCCCAGGTCTGATTCACCACTGCAACTTCTGACCACCCCACCCCCCCACCCTGAAGACTGGGGCATGCCAGTTCCCAGAAGCCATTTATGAGAACACAGCCGTCATATGCTGATGACCACGCTCAGACAGCCGGGGTGACCCTTCAGTTGATTCTCTTTGAAACCTCACAGTACCCCTACGGGTAACCTTAGGACCCCATTTTACAGGCAAAGAGGTGGGGCAGAGAGACTTGGAGGGATGCGCCCAAGTAAGTGGGGGGGGGCTGGGACCTGAACTCAGCGGAGCGCCCTTGCTCCTCCTGGTTCTACTCTATGACCTACGTGTGGAGTCACTGTCAGCCTGACTCCTAACTCAGGGAACGGAGGTTTGCACCGATGGTGACAGCTACCCAGCTACCCGCCTGGAAGTGCAGAGCCTGGAGGCGGGTGAGAGTGGCCACGCCCGGAACCTCCCTTCTGGCTCCCTGCCCAGCC